GCTGTCTGGCTGGCTGGCTAGCTAGCTAGCTAGCTAGCTAGCTAGCCAGCGAGCGAGCGAGCTAGCGAGCTGACTAGCTAGCTAGCCAGCTGGCTAGCTAGCTGGGCGGCGGGCTAGTTGGCGCGCTGGGCAGCGAGCTAGCTGGCGACACAATGGCTAGCTAGCTGGCTAGCTAGCTAGCTGCCCAGGCAAAGAGCAACGCCACCAGCCAGAAAGCTGGCTTGGTGGCTTCCTGGCCAGCTAGCTAATCAGCCAGCTAGCTAGCCAGCTAGCTGGCCAGCTAGCTAGCTAGCTAGCTAGAGGACAAAGTTGCTGGCTAGCTGGCGTGGAGATAAAGTTGGTGGAGAGGTGGAGTGCGGGGCAGCGGGGCCTGCCTGTGCACCAGGTGGCTAGCTGGTTAGCAAGCTAGTTGGCTAGCTAGCTGGTTGGCTAGCTAGCTAGCTAGCTAGCTGGCTGGGTAGGCGGCTAGGTAGCTAAGTGGCTAGCTAGCTGGCTGGCTAGGTAGGTAGCTAGCTAGGTAGGTAGCTAGCTGCCTGGCGCATTTCAGAGGATTAGCCAGGCGGGCCCAGCTAGCTAGCTAGCCAGCTAGCTAGCCAGCTAGCTAGCTGGCCAGCTAGCTAGCCAGCTAGCTAGTTAGCAGTTAGCTAGCAGCTAGCTGGCCAGCCAGCGAGTGGGCTAGCAAGTAGCTAGCCGGGTGGCAGAGAGCAGCGGACGGGCTGCTGCAGTAAACAATCTGAAAGCTAACCAGCAGGGGCTAGCCAAGTCAGCTAGCTAGCTAGCTAGCTAGCTAGCTGGCCCTAAACCCTAAACCCTAGCCTTTTGTCCTTGCCTTTGGGCATTGCTGCGTGTCCTCAGGTGTATTTACACCTCAAACCGCTGCACTACGTGCAGCCTCTCCGGGGTTTAGGGTTTAGGGTTTAGGTCCTAGGGTTTAGGGTTTAGGGTTTTGCTGCTTCTGGGGGTAGGTGTCAGGCCTAGCTTAGGGTTTAGCAGGCCCTGGGGCAGCAGCAGCAGCTCCAAACCCTAAACCCTAGATGCCGAACCCTAAACCCTAAACCCTAGGTTTTTGTTGGCGTTTCATTTGTTGTAATTACCTCACTAAGGCCCTAGTGAGGTTTAGGGTTTAGGGTTTAGGGTTTAGGATCTGAAGTGAGAGTTTAAGAGTTCTGGGGGTTTTCGAGGCCGCGTTTGTTGCTGCTGCTGCAGCTAGTGTTGCTGCTGCTGCCTTTGCTGCTGCTCTTGCTGCTTCTGTTACTGCTCCTACGTCTGCTGCTGTTATGCCTGCTGCTGCTGCTGCAATGCCAGATGCTGCTGCTCTTGCTGCTCCTGCTGTTGCTGTAGAAATAGAGCCATAGTGATGCACAGAAGCAGCAGCAGCTGCAGCAGCAGGAGCGGCAGTCGGTGCTGCAGCATGCAGCAGATGAGTCAAATATGCTTCAGGGGCTGCTGCGATCCGTAACCCTTGAGTAGGGTTTAGCGTTTAGGGTTTAGCTGTTAGGGTTTAGGGCTTGGATGAGGCCAATTTCGTGACGTGCCCCGTTCTTGCAGCTTACACATCTAAACCCTAAACCCTAAACCCTAGCCCAGAAGCCCAGGCGAAATTGAGTACAACCCCCGAAACCCTAAACCCTAAACCCTAAACATTCAACACTGAAATCTATCTTAAATCAGCAGAATGTTTATTACAGTGATCTTAATAGCTTCTGCTTCACAAAGGGCCCCCTTTAGTGCCCCCCTGGGGGCCCCCTTGGGGCCCCCCAGGACCCCCTGTGGGTCCCTCAGGGGGCCCCTCTCAGCTCGACAGCCTGGGGGGCCCCTTGGGGGCCCCCCGAGCCTCCTTCTGTTTAGCTGCGGATATTTTTAGGTTTTAAATTATGCATGCGAGTCTGCTCAGAAGCAGCTGCTGCAGCTTGTAGCTTGGGGGCCCCCCAGCAGCAGCAGCAGCAGCAGCAGCAGCTGCAGCAGCAGCAGCAGCAGCGGGGATGAGGGCCTCCCCCTTGCCCCATTCCTTGGGGCCCCTGCTCGCTGCTGGGCCAAGCCCTCCCCCACACAAGGGCCGGCACTTCCTTTTGTTGCAGCGCAGCTACAGACTCCAGCAGCAGCAGCAGCAGCAGCAACAGCAGCAGCAGCAGCAGCAGCAGCAAAGTTTTCCAGGGTGCTTGTGCTCGTGCCGTAGTCGGGCCCCTTCTGAAGTTTCCTGGGGGCCCCTCCGGGGGCCCCCCAGGGGGCCTCAGATGCTACCTGGGTGTTCCGCTGCGCTGACACATGCAGCGAGGCATTGCAGTGCAGCAGCAGTAGCAGCAGCAGCAGCAACAGCAGCAGCAACAGCAGCAACAGCAGCAGCAGAAACAGCGGCAACGACAGCAGCAGCAGACCCACTTTCTGGGCATAGTCGCAAGGCTGCGGCTGCATCACGGTCAAGAGCTGCAGCAGCAGCAGCAGCGTCGTCACGAGCAGCAGCAGCAGATGCGGCTGCTGCAGCAGCTTCAGCAGCAGCATCTGCTGCAGCTATTGCTGCTGCTGCGGAGGAGGCAGCAGCAGCAGCTGCTTCTGCTGCGGCAGTTGCT